ACTCTGTTCTTGTCTAAACAGCTACTGTTTTCAACGTAGAAGACTCGTACTTCAGAGTATATAGTTGGTTTAAAAATATCTACAGATTTCTAACAGACAAAACTCATCAGGTTTAGTCAATGTATAAAAGAAGCTGGGAGCAAAAAAGGACATGAAAGAAGTGCCATCCAACTCAACACTTCTGCCTCACAATCTACAATTCAGCTGTATTCAAAGAGCTTGCATATTCTGGTAAGAAATACATAAAGATTTCTGAGGTCTGCCCCTCTGCATGCTAAAATGACAGATACGAGGTGCAAGACTAGCTTTGCCAGGTTAAACAAGGCTATTAAAACAGCATACCCAACTTTACTGGCACTAAAATGAAACAGTGGTGCCAAAGATTCTAAACGAAAGAAATATTAAGTAATATTCCACCACTGACACTGACATAAGTTTATTATTACTCCATCCCAATCTACCTTGATCCAAATCCTCTAAATACATGCAGTTTCAGTGCTGGGCCTCCCTTAGGCCAGCCAATTAGGTTGAACAGTGTGGTGCTTTTTCAAATTTTGTCAAAAACTACATCGAAACCACTGCATAAAAGGAACATGCATTATTAGCTCATTATCTAGCCCATTACCTTCTGCAACACACTGCCTTATGTGTGTTCCTTCCTATGCCATCCTGTAAGACCCACCACACCTCTTTTGTTGCCTCCACGTCTTTGTTAGGGAGCCCTCAACAGAACCACCTCTGTCCCCCAAGCAAAACAACTGCCCAGAAAGGAGAATAAACAATTCCAGCTTCAAAAGAAAGCTTTTCTTTTTTTTCAGAAATACTCTTTCGTATTTTTGAATATGCCAGATAATAGTAATGTATAAAAGAAAAAGAATATGAAATTACACATTGCATTTTCCTAAGTTACATATTCCTATTCTGTTTCAGGGTATTACTGACAGATAATTTGAAGCATTATGTACAAATTCTTCCTTCTTCAATTACCTGAATGCAACCACTACAACAAATATTATTTTGGGCTCAGTGAAGTACTTCAGGCTGAGGTAAGAAAGATGCAGCCATCCCTCCTGCATCAACAAGTGAAGGTACTAAAATAAGTGGCTATTCACATCTCCTCGTATCAAAAGTAAATAAAAATATACCGATATAAAATTTGGCCCTGCACACAAAAAAATGGATGCAAACATTATAATATTACAGTATGAAGAATCTAACGTTTAGGGAGAACTTAGGAAGAAAAACAAGCGCAATTCCTTTTAAATCAAACCCCTTTTAAAAGGATTTTCAAGAGAATAATATAGCAACTGTTTCAGTGACCCCAAAAAAGGTATGTAAAGAAAAGGACAGTCCACTAGAGGGACCAACAAACCATTTCACCTTTTCTGTGTCAACCAAAAATAGTCCATACTGCTTTCCACCCACTGAAATTGGCACATGTATGTGCATAAAGCGGACAAATGAATTTTTAAATGCTCAGCACACAAATGTCTCATGGCCATGATTTGAAGTGAAAACACTAGTGGAAGAAAAAGTGGCTAAAAGACTAGAAAGAAATGAAGACCAACAGCTGGAGAAATGCAAGAGCCACATGCAATCCAGGAAAGAGGAAAGAAGGATAAAAGTATAATTAGATTCACATAAAAGATAAAATTATTGCAGTTAGCATACATTAAATATTTTTTGCAGCAAAATGCATTCTCATATACAGTTGCTGTAGGAAAGTTATACCGCTAAAACTGGAAAGAAAATAGGTGCATCAGAGAATTTTATTCTTGAAATAGCATCTGCTACTATATTATTTGAGAATCCTTGAGCAGTAACTGTTCAAAAATATTGCAAAAAGAATAGTATAGCACTAAGAGCAACTACTATACATACTCCAACATATTTCTGAAATACACATGACTGAATGAACATTTGCCTACAGTCGGAAAGAAGCTGTGCTCCCTATACCTCAGGCAGAACATAAAGGTTCTGTGAGGTATGAATGTCCCAGGACACATTACTTCACGTAGTAAGGATAAAATCATTTATCACAGAGAATTCTTATCAGGGCACTAATGGCAGGAAAGCTCCTTGAAAGCAGTAGACAGACACTCAGTGAACAGCTGAACATCATCTCATATATATTGAAGTATCCTGGTCCAGAAATGGGATCATATCTGCTGCTAAGGGTGCTAAGAATGCTCAAGGAGTCTAACCATAAGAACTCATGATACAATAAGCACTGCCATGATATAATAGGCAGTTGGGTTAACTAGAAAAAATGGAATTTACTTTTCAGGTTCATTAAAAAGCCTGGATTTTCATTGGTGACATACAAAATTTTCTTCTTCAGAGTTGCACACCAGACACATGAAAAATAAACAGTGAAAGCATCCTTTATAGTATCACATTCTAAATTTATCTAAAAAATAGGGGTGATTAAAGCAAGACAATGTTTCACTTAAATTATTCTCTAGATAAATCATCATTTATCCTTAAACATATTGGAAGTGAGGCAAAAGCAAACTAATGATCCAAAGCTTAAACTGTGACCTGAAGGTAATTTTAAAAATAAATTTTCAAAGATAGTATTCTTTTACTAGAAACAAAATAATGATATAATGATGACCTGATGTTATTATTTTAAGCATGCTATAACCTACATTTTATGGTAATGGGTTTATTAAAAATACTTCTGACAAACAAATCTATACATAACTGACATGATGTAAATGAATTATTACTCTTATTTTTAAAGCAAGTAATCAACAAGGCTTACCCTTCTCTAAGTAAACCCAGTATTTAGCTCATAGTAAAAAACATGAAATTCAGAATTCCCCTGGTGAAACATATTAACCAGGATTAAAACGTCCAAAAAATTCAGGTGCAATTACCAATTCTAAAGAATCAATTTAGTATTAACTCTCACTTCGCACTTAGTTCTTGGCAGGATTTACTTATCACCTTGCATACTAGAGCTCACTAGACTATAATTTGTGTTTATTCTAGGATTCAGATAAGAATGACAGTGCAGCTTGAAGTGATTGTCTCACCTCTTTTGTACCTGACTTCTTAATGAAGACAATCTGCAAGCCCTAGTACAATAGCCATGTTCTATTAAAACAAAACAAAAAAACACCACTGTGTTGCATATTGCCGAGTATGCAGCCATGACTGACAGTGATGACATCTCTGTGATAAATTACAGCATCATTCAATTTTGATCACTGAATCTACATTCTACCTACCGATCCACTTCCTCCAGATCTAAATAGAAGACAAATTGTAAGTTGCTGGTTTGCTTTTTGAAGGACAAAACACAAGAAAAGGTTCATTCTTTTCTTCAAAAACTCTCAAATGATGTCTAAAATTAGCTAACATTCAGCACAAGATAAATAAAAGGCTTAAAGTTTGTTGTTTTCTACATCATCAGCATTACTAAAAAGACAAATATTCAGAAAGAGACGGCAGAATAAGATTAAAGAGGATGGATGGGTAGCTAATTTCAGTTGTGCTAACTCTTATTCCCTGGGCCTCAAAAGCAGCCTTCTTAGTTTCTGGAAAATAAAGACTTGGCTTTCTTTTTTTTTTTTTTTTAAGTATTATTTTTGACCCCAGAAAGAAGCACAACTAGGCCATGTATCCCATATATAAATACTAGATAAAAACCACAATAACATTGTAGAATAACATGTGTATCTAAGTCCATCATCACTAATAAAGAACAGTTTGGGTTTTTGTTAGGCATGAACCTGCTGGAAAGTAGCTCTGCAGAGAAGGACCTGGGAGTGCTGGTGGACAACAAGTTAAACATGAGCCAGCAGTGTGCCCTTGTGGCCAAGAAGGCCAATGGTCTCCTGGGGTGCATTAGGCAGAGTGTTGCCAGCAGGTCGAGGGAGGTGATCCTGCCCCTCTCCTCAGCCCTGGGGAGGCCTCACCTCCAGGTCCTGTGTCCAGTTCTGGGCTCCCCAGTACAAGGGAGACATGGCACTACTGGAGAGAGTCCAGC